GAGAGAGAGAGAGAAAGAAAGAGTGTGTGTGGGGGGTAGAGAAGCGAGATAGTTTCTATGTCAGGCTTGTGTTTTAGACCCGCCTTCATTTTCCTTTGTTCTTTTCTTTGCTTGGCTTGTTCAATGAACAACAAATGAATAGAAACAAGATACGAGCTGTAGTGGTTTCTCATACATTTTCCGAAAAATACAGCTGACGACGGACAGGATCAACGGAGGGAAGGAGGTAAATACATATTTTAGAAAAGAAGAATTTATTTCTGGGAACCGGGGTATAAAACAGATCACACCAGAGCACCCATCAACCACCCACAGTAAGTTTGTTTAGTAAGTTTTACGGCACCTGCAACACAATAAGGTCATATAAGTGCCGAAGATTAGAGGTGTTACAAGGGAAACAAACACAAAACAGAAGAAGGAGAGAGATAAGGACGATACAAGTTTGATAGGAAAGAAGGAGCACACCACACCAGAGCACACGCCAACAACCCACACCCACAGTAAGACACAAGAATGCTACTTAGAATCGACAAAAGGCACCGTACATAAAGTAAAATCATAAAATGAACAACGAGAGAAGACAACTATACGAGGGATCAAAACAGGAGAATAAAGAGAATGTATAAACAAAAATATCAGAGGTGCCACTTGGTTACAAATTCTGAAACTTTTGGGACCGGGTAGAAACTAGCGCGTGGGAAACAACATTTACAGATCATATAATATTATCATCATCAAATGCCATTTCTGCGACAGACATCGGCGATCATGGTTCTCCATTCATTATATTGGCCTAATATTGCATTTCATTAATGGATTTGACTGTCTTTATATAAAGTGCATTATTATATGCACAAAGACATAAAAATATAAATATAGATCTATGTACATGTAAAATCAGACAAAATTATGAAATTTTAGAAACCAAGATTTATCTGGGAAACTGGCACCTCTATTACAAACATTTCCACTTTCCCCCTCCCCACTCTTTACAAAAAAAACCCAATCCTTTAAAACCCTTTTTAAAAATCTAATCCAACGGTCGACCAAGACAGAGAAAGGTTACAAAAGTGTACGGTGCACAATCCACGCAAAAAGCATACGACGTAATCAATCAATTAGGCGATTGCCCCTTCAGTAGTTTCACTACAGCCACAAAGCAGGATTTTTTGGCGTTCTGGAACGCAGCACTTCCAAGATTAACCCTTTCCTGGCAAAATCCCAAGGATGCTTACTCACCGTCAGCGTAGACCTGGAGGCTGGGTACCATACCTGGATTTACAACCTGGATTTACGATAGGTAGAAGTGGTGTAGACGTTGCAGGGTCGTGCAAGTAAACATGAGGTGCATTACGGAATAATGCTCTTTGAACAGCTTGACATTCAATCCAATATTTTTCCGATACTCTCTCTCTCTCTCTCTCTCTCTCTCTCTCTCCCGCTCTC